CGATTGGCGAGAAGCGAAGGGGGATAAGAGAGGTGGTAATAGGCAACTGAATTCTTGCAACTGATTGTATGTATATCGGCTCAAGTGCAGGAGATATGCTTGGATGGAACTTGTGTGTCTTGATCTTTATTTTCTGCCTGAACGGAAAGCATCTCGTGGCGTTTTTAAACCCCGAGGCATCTGGTATAAGAGCGTCCGTGGACAAGGTAGAGGTCTTATAGGCAACAACGGGACTTGATCCAATCCAATCCAATCCCAACCCAAGCCAACAGAGTGTTGTAGTGAGCGAGCCCGCCCATTATCGCGGACCCCATTTTCCACAGTGGGCATGAGGTATCGTGCCGAGCCGCACTGCCAGGCTCCCGTCCATGGGATGTGATACCTTTTGGGTCGGTTTGGTTTAGGTAAAGGGCAGTTGGTCGAGTCGCACCCCTGTCTCCGATCTATATGATGCTCCGGGTCTCCGTCTAAGTGGTGTCCCTTGCACGACACACACCGCACTAGTCATGCCGGCTCCTTCAGGAGCGGTTTTTTGGCATAGGTGACGCATTCTTCTGAGTGCGTTGATTACGTTGTTCCTCCATTTTAGAATCTAGGCTGCCTGATTTTACTGAGGTGTTTAGTTTCCGTAGCGTTCTTTTTTGGTGGTTCATTATCTCTCGTGTAAGGTTATGTAATGCAGGTAGTAGTAGTGTGTAGTCTAAGTGACCCGGTCGAGTTCAGGTGGAAACTCGTGAGATCCCTGCGATATGAGTGGTCCAACTCCACCTGTGCCTGGAGGAGGAGGCTAAGAAGGCTGGAGGAATTCCTACGAGCATTATCCGTCGAATAAGAGAAACATGTGTGCGACGATGCTCAAACTCTGCGTGGCTGTGTCTGCGTCTGCCCTGGAAACAAGAGTTCTAGAGTCCAGTCTGTATATATTGATAGTATGAATAGTGTAGCACTGCATGCAGGGCCCCCAATTCCTTCATTGGGCGCTTATCGATTGCCACGCTCAAGGCTATGTATGTGTTGGTATCCTCTTTTCCCACAATTCAATGCCAGTGAGAATCATTTTTGCTCTCTGCCGGGTGCCTTGCATCCTTTGATCTACAATATATGATGTAAAACCGCTACAAGTTGCTCCAACCGAGTAATTGCCCGTCTGTTGGTTGTGGTTGTTGTTGGTTGTTAGTCCCGGCCGTGGGGAAAAGGCAACGCCGCAATTTTAGGCAAAAGCCTCCACAGTCGGCAGCGAACCGACAGGCGAACCCTTGAACGTCATAACATTAACCCCAATCGAGACTACAATATGGTATTATCGTGCCATAAAGACACCGAGGCTTGACTCACTGCCCCTCTAGCCGGAGTTTTGTATCAGGTGGATCACAAGGTTATTTAGACATTAACGATGAAATTACAACAAAATACGATTTAAAGTGGTTGCATGAGGTTTTCAGGGAGGGCACGGTGAGTCGATATCAAACGGTGAAGGGGGTGGCAGAGCTACGTACTGTTCTGTACTGTACCGGACAGCAGTTGTGAGTGGTAATATAGACTACAAGATTGATATGATACTCCATTATCAGCCTTGTACGGCACGGCATGTTACATGAGTGGTGGGTTTTACATGTGGTGGTTCGAATTTAGGCAGACTGTGGAGGCTGAGGCTGTCATTCTTGGAATCCCCTCATCACTGCAGTATCATGGGACTTGACGATGCAGGCCTCAGAGTATATTTTCTCGTATATTTGTGTTTTCCCATCTAAAACTATCTACTCTTACACTCTCTGATATCGTCATATTCATCCGTGTCTTACTGCTCACCCTTCAACCATCAATCTCCACAAAATCTCTCGTCTGTCACCCTCAATCTTCACATCTGGCGCCCGCGCCAATTGTGAGGTTGCCCACTTCACCCGATCTACATCTTTCTTGACATCATGATACGCCGGTAGTCAGGCTGCCCAGCGCACCTGCTTCACCTCCCTGATCTCGAGATATTCTGCGTATTCTAGAAGATCAACCATCGGGACATTGCTGTCGAGCCTCTGCACCGTCCCGTTGTTCCAGTGCACTAGAACCTTGGCGTACCGCTTGTCGGGTGCCAAGAAGGCCACGATGCGGTCACATGATGGTCGGGGGTTGACTGAAATGGTAAACGAAAAACTGTTTTCGCTTCGCATTCCATTCCTTGTGTTGTCATATACCTCAAAGACAGGCCTGCCATTGCGGTTATATCTGTGGGGCGGGTGCGAACGGCCTTGACTGGTAGTATGCACGTCGGACATATGTCCATAGTTATCGTGGCTATGGGAGATACCTGTCGGATGGGGGCAACATCTGCAAGTACATCTCGTGGGGTCCGAAGTTTGATAGCGTCCTTGCATATCGAGGGGCACGATGTAAGTACCATATGTTGACACTCGCCTGATAATTGGTGCCCGACCACTGTTGAGCGTTGTGTTGATCTCCTCCTGCGGCGAACGATCCCGCCCTCTGTCAGAGCGAGAGCGTCGTCTGTCATTGCTCGCACGGCGCTCTCTGTTCAAATGAGAGTAATCGTCGTCCAATACTGGGGAAGAAGCTGAGCCCCTTCTCGGGCGCAGGTCCTGATCTCGTCTGGAATAGTGATGTTGCTGTTCCCATCTCATATGGTAAGGCACTTCGGATTCGCCAGACCTACGTGAGTACGAGTGAGAATCACGACTACCTGAGGACCTGCTGCTGCGACGTCGATCATAGTCACTGTAAGCACTCTGGTTCGAATAGACGGAGTTTCGCCTCCTAGCTGCCGCAGCGTCAAGATCGTAGCGTTGTGATGAGTACGACATTTTGGGCTTTGATTCGGTATAAAGACCTGATTTAAGTCACGGTTTGATTTGAGGTGAAATGGCTCTGTAATTTGTGTGGAACACTGAGTCTGTGAGTGTAGAAGAGGTTCGTGAGAGTCCCTTAGGTATTTAAAGAAATACAGAGTCCATTGACGAGTCCATCATGGCGACCGGGTCAACCTTGGATTTGAACATAGCTTCGACTGAACAATAATCGAGAATATCGACTCTCCTTTGTTCAACTCGCATTGAGAACATCGAATACTTTTTGTTCATCAATTCCCTTCTTTCAGCATAATGTCCACTCGAACAATGTTCAAAGATACGTCCATGGTTGTTCTGCAGAACTCGTCGAATCGTTCCGTTTTCATCAAAGAAACAAGTCAAAGGGTGCAGTTACACAGCTTCCGGGCTTCCGCAAGGTCAGATTTGTGCTGAGCCTGTTCAGGCCCTGGGCAACTAGGCCTTTTGAGAGAAAATAGAAACGGGTCTTTCACGTTCACGCGGGTCCCGAGATGGCAGGTCGATCTTTTGTTTGATTACACCAAATCCTAAATGGAAGCAATGGGAAGTTGGAAGAATGAATGGCGCGATGAGGCTCGGGGACGCAACGGAGGCCGACATATGAAATTAGGGGCACAACCTGAGATAAAGTCCCCTAAAATTTGAGATAAGCCAATGGTCTTGTCTCATCCTGTTTGCGGGCAGCTTCCCCACAGTGGCCAAAGGGGGCTAAGGGTGCGGCAAAAGCCACAGGTGGAGGCCACTCTCCAAAAGGCCAGCAAAGACATGTCCATTCCATTTCATCCCGCACTCTAATCTTTGCAACCATCTTCATACTCTATTCATCAACCTCCGAATCCTTTGGCCTTGCCATTTTCTCTTTCCTTGCTTCTTCTCTTCAATTCTTACCGGTCTCTTCAGCTCATTAATCAAAATGGCTCTCTCTCCTCAGATGTAAGTCGCTCTCCACGCGACAGCCGTCGCGCAGATTATGTCCGGTGGCGCAAAGAAGAAAACGCTGACATTTGCGATAGCACCAACCTGATCATCATCTTGGGTATGATGCAGGTGTCGAAGCGTGTTCCCTTCGATGATCCTTTCGTGCTCAACGTCGTTCGCGCCGTCTATCTCGCCAGCAACGTCATCATTGCTGCTCTCTACTTCTACACCCAGCTGAAGATCAACAAGAAGAAGGGTACGATAACTTGACTTCTGAGGCAATTTCTACCATCGCAATACTAACATGGCTTCCCACAGACCTCACAACCCTCAAGTATGTCGAGCCCGCTCCCATGGGATCCACTGAGGAGGGCAAACTTGTCACCACCACCATCCACGCCTACGACAACCAGCAGATCCGCACCGCTTTCCGTGGCCAGGCTATGGGTATGGCCATGATGGCCTTCATGCACATCTACATGAAGTACACCAACCCTCTTCTCATCCAGAGCATCATCCCTCTCAAGAGCGCCTTCGAGAACAACATGGTCAAGATCCACGTCCTTGGCCAGCCTGCCGCCGGTGACCTCAAGCGTCCCTTCAAGCAGCCCCAGGGTTTCATGAGCGCCATGCAGGGTGGCCCCGCCCAGAGCGACAAGAAGGCCGTTGAGGCTGCTGAGCGCGCTGGCCGTGGTGGTGCCAAGGAGGAGTAAAGTAGAACTTCTAAAACGAATTTCGGCTTTAGAGGATAGCGTGGACCGTAGGCTAGGGTTGTAATAGACCTTGGTTGTACTATAATACAGGTGTCATGGCTCGCAAAAGTATTTGCTTATGGCGAAAGCCAAAATCAAGGGATTGGAACATGCTTAACAATTTCTTGAAATGATATCTAATGTAGAAAAGCAAGAAGAATATTACGAGAACCTGAGAGGACTTTGACCTCAAAAGCCATGTAAATTTTGGTGAATGTCAAAAGTTTGCGTAGGCTGCAGTCACGTTTTCTCGTGGAAATTGGTGACATAATTCAGATCTAGATCGCGACAAACCGCCCCTCCGCCACCCATCGCCGTCATCGAGGACCCTGAGTCAAACTTCTCCTTTGACATTTGCATTCGCTCTTTTGTCTCTGAATTCTCCCTAAGTTCTCGCTTTCCACTTGCATTGCGATTTTGTAACGAAAGCCAGCTGTCTCTGTCTCTGCATTGTTCTTTCGGTATTTTGTCTCCGCTCCGATTGCTCATCATGGAACGGCCATCTACACCACCTCGGGCAACAAAGCCTGCACCCACAATCACTCCGCCGACCCCGGAAGTTACGAAGCGCATAGTGTGTAAAGTCCTGGAATAAATATTTATTTTCTCTGGAGATTCTGACATGTATCTAGGAAGAGAACCGACTGCGTGCAAAGGCGATCCGAGACCAGCGTGAAGCCGAACAACGAGCGACCGGCACCGCACCCGAAATCCCCAAGAGCTCTGGAGGCTTCGTGCCAACAAAAGATGTGTACATCTCTAAAACTGCCGACGGAAAGCGACCGTACAGCTCCATCTCTACAGAAGATGCTTCTAAGGGAACAAATCGAGATGGACGTAACAAAGGCGATGAGGAGGCGTTGCGGCCGGCGCGCAAGTTCACAAAGTTCGTCGATTACAATATGAGCGCCATGACAGATACGAAGGGTGGTTTCCTATCGACGGAAGATGATCCGCATAACTATGCTCTGGGTGGCAAGAAGCCTGGACAGTCTGAGGATGACCAGCGACCGAAGCACATGAGCGTTCAGGAGTGGGAAAGATTACAGCTGATACGGAACTTGAAGAGGCTAAAGGCAGGTCCTTTTGAGCCTGGGTTGAGTGTGCTTGCGGACAACGAGACACGAAAGAAGTGCCAGGACTGCAAGAGCTTGGAGATTGACTTTGTCTGGGAAGAAGTCTTCCATATCTGCGTTTGCAACAAGTGCAAGGAGAAATATCCAGAAAAGTATTCGTTGTTGACCAAGACTGAGTGCAAGGAGGACTACCTACTTACAGACCGTGAGTGTATCCGTGCAAGTTCTCGGACTGCCATCGCTAACATAAAATAGCCGAGCTACGAGATCCAGAATTATTACCACATCTCTCAAAGCCAAACCCCCACAAATCGCATTGGCACGACATGATGCTCTTCCTTCGATGTCAAGTGGAAGAATACGCGATCAAGACGAAGTGGGGGTCATCAGAAGCTTTAGACGTTGAGTATGAACGACGAGAGACACAGAAGAAAGCTCGCAAGGAAGCCAAGTTCAAAGAGAAGCTACTTGATTTGAAGAAAAAGACAAGAACGGACGCTTTTCGCAGACAGGCTGGGAATTTGAGCAAGTCTGGTGCAAGCAAGTTTGGAGATGCAATAGGAGGTGGGCGGCATGTTCATGAATGGGGAAGAACGGTTGAGAATGAGGATGGGATGACGGTCAAGACATGTGTTGATTGTGGTATGGAAGTTGAGGAGCTAGAATTTTGATGCCGTCACATTACGATTTGAGGCCTGGGTTTGGAGTTTGGAGTTCAGAGGATTAAAGCAACGTCGTACCGATAGGCCTAACCAGGCTCGAGGACGATCAGGCAGAGAATCGAACTATCTTTCTTGTGATTGGTATATCAAAATAGAGCCTGATTCAGGAGTAAATTCGTGTTGGGCAACCGAATCACTTTTCGCTGCAATGTTCCACGGTCTCGGATTCAATTAAGGACTGCTTCATGTTTGACTTACAAAACCAGCACTAAAACAAGACACAAACAAAGGCGTTGTTTGTCATCAACTTTGCTTTGTTAGGAGCTGAAATTCCTTGTCGAATATCGGTCCCTGGATTGGTGATCCGCACCCTTAGCCAGGGGTTCCAAGTTGATGCCTGACAGCCTCATATGGGTTTCCAAGTCAAGCTTGTTCAGCGCTGATTGGCTAAAATCTCGGCGGCAAAGCGCCAATACAGAGGATAGCACCAACTAGCAGCGTGGAGGTACAGGGCACCACACAGGACAGCACAACAGACAGATGCACCCGACCTCAAAGTACCCGACCAAGACTGGCAAGCTTGGTTTCTTAGCAGCACACGACCCGACGCTCAATTTTTTGGCTTTCTATCGACAGAAAGCAAACCACGATATCCCGATTCGACGCCGATTCAGATAACCCAGGACCGAATCTTCACCGAGACGACAACACGTGCCAAGGCTCGTTGTATCTTTGGCGCAGGAGCTTCCAAGTTCCAGCATCTGGCCTCGTCACATCACATCACACTCCATCAACCGCACCGAGCTTGTCCGACCTCTAAACCGGCACTCGCTCGCCTCCATCGCCATCTCTCCCAAACCGACTCGAAGCTCCATGCACCCGCCCAATTGAGAGAGGCGCGCCGCGATGGGCCCTAATGCTGGCAACGGCGTGGGCGGCCTGGAGATGGGACCTATGATGCAGGGCAATGGCTCCAACATCCCCCAGGCCACCGAATACACCCTCCAGGGCGTCATGCGATTCCTGCAGACAGAATGGCACAGACATGAGCGCGATAGGAACTCGTGGGAGATTGAGAAGCAGGAGATGAAGGGCCGCATCGCCAACCTCGAGGGTCAGGCGCGGAGGGCCGATGCTACTCAGCGCGTGCTGAGGAAGTATGTGACTATGCTGGAGCGAAAGGTTAAGGAGCAGACGGCTCAGCTTCAGGGTCAGGAAGCAGTTGATGCAGAGACAGCGGCTAAGAATGATCGGGCTGCTAAGATACAAGAGAAGCTTAGATGTGAGCAATGCCCCTTTGTGCCGACCTTCCATACTAACATTGTCACAGCTACCTTGGAGGATATGCCCGTGCCCGGCGTCGATGGCGTTAACTATGAGAAGCTCGACCGAGGTGACGAGGAAGCTCAACGACAAGATCTTAAGACCTTTCTTGATCAATGCCAATCCGAATTTATGTACCTTATGATTACCCCCGCGAACCCGCAGCCACCTCGAGAATCTCCCCCGCTACCGATCATGGAGGATCTGCGAGAAGTCGAGGCGTTTGGCATGCCAGCTCCCCAGCAGCAATTCCAGCTCCCTACACGAAATGCTCAGAATCACTCTCAAGAAATGAACTCGAGGATATCTCAGCAGAATCATGCGCCTCATGGTCAAAACCAGCAGCAACACTTTGGCCAGAAGCAAGAACACCAGCCTCAGCCAATGGTGCGGTCCGAGCATCCACCTGTCATGTATCAAAACTCTAATGACTGGCCCGCGCCCGTGTCAGTAACATCCCGACCGGTTGAAGATCACATGCCACAAGCAAACCATGCGGCAGAAGTTTTGGGTGGAATGGATGACTCTGCTGAACTTAGGGAGAAACACTCTGCACAGTCCGAGAATGATGGATGGGAGTTCCCTGAGGGCACATTCCCTGAACCTGGAAACTCCCAGCCCAATTCTCAACCTAACCGCCCTGATACCGATGCTTTCCCTACTGCTGATAACCTCCCCAAGTCGCCGAGCCGACGAGACAGCTCCCACCGACGGAAAGGCTCCATGTCTAGAAGACGAAGTGCCGATCATGAGCTAGCCTTGGCTGCCCAAAAAGCTGAGAGTGGTAATTTCAAGCTCAGATTTGGACTCCGAGGCCATCTCGACACTGTTCGCACAATCATATTCTCTGGAGGCGGTAGCCCCGGCGAGCCAGAAATCTGTACTGGAGGAGACGACGGTATGATCAAGCGCTTCCACATTCCTCGATTAGATGGTCACCCTGGCGGTCTTGCGCACACAGCGTCAGACCTTGATGTTACAGCCAACTTTACACACCGTGGTCACTCAGGAGCAATTCTGTGTTTGACATCGTGGTCACCCTCGCCGAATTTCTCAACTGGAGGTCGCGCACAAGGCGACGGCTGGATATTCTCCGGCGGCCAAGATGCGACCATTCGAGTTTGGGAGCGTGGAAGAGTCGATCCTAAGGCGACTCTTGAAGGACATACTGATGCAGTCTGGGCTATCTGTGTTCTGCCAGCAACTCTTGGTCAAATATTCGGAAGCTCAAGTCCTTACGGTAGCACGGATCGTATCTTGGTTGTTTCGGGTGCCGCAGACGGCAGTGTTCGTTTGTGGTCAGTGAGCGCACCTCCTCAGCTGAGCTCACCACAACCTGGAACAAACCGAGCCATGACCGGTCGCGGAGGTAGAGTCCGTGGTAACTCGATGAGCTCCGGCAGTGGATTCTCCAATACTCCCCAACCCACTATCGCCTCCAACTCGCCTTTCAACCATACCCTTGTACACAACATCTCGAGGTCTGACGGCTCCACCGCCAGTCCGACGTGCATCACACCTCTGGGTACCACTGGAGAGTCGTTCGTTGTCTCGTACTCAGATGCCGCGATTATCGTTTATGACACCCGAACCGGTGAACAAATCGGCAACATGGACAGCCTTGAAACATATGATCAGTCTAACAAGACCAGCGTTAATGCCGTTGTGGCGACGACAATCGGCCTCGATCAGGCTAACCAGAATCACAGCGGTAGCATAGGCGAAGAAGATGCCGGCTCAGGTGCTACCGGAGGTGGACGATCAATGGCTGGTTCAGGTGTTGAGGGAACTATCATCTCTGGCCACGAAGACCGCTTTATCCGGTTCTTCGATGCCAACAGCGGTAAGTTGCATGTATCCTGAATACTTACAAAGACTAATTGTTTTCTAGGCCAGTGTACATATAACATGATTGCCCACCCCGATGCTATTTCCAGCCTTTCACTAAGCCCTGACGGTCGTGAGCTCGTCAGCGCCGGTCACGACGCCTCCCTTCGTTTCTGGAGTCTCGAGAAGCGCACCTGCACGCAAGAAGTGACAAGTCACCGCGTGATGCGCGGTGAAGGCATCTGTGCCTGCGTGTGGAGTCAAGATGGAAAATGGGTAGTCAGCGCTGGCGGCGACGGCGTGGTCAAGGTGTTTGCACGATAATGGAGATAGATGCTTTATATGTATGTATGTCATGATATGGAGGAACTTCTTTTTTTTTCAAGGGTATGGGTGGTGCATTGTTGCTTGGCGGCCCATGGTATTGTAGCAGTTGGATTGGGGCGCCCAGCAACGAGACGGGAAACCCAAGTGTCATAGTATCTGTACATGTTGAGGAGGGTGATTTCGTTTATTTATACTACTCGTCGATACCCGGCATTTAGTGGTGGCTCAGCTTTACTTCTAGTATCTCACGGAGTGTATCCATAGTAAGATATTCTTGGTAGTGAAAAGAAAACTCATAGAAGTGAGTGAGTGATCTGATCTGATGAAGGATGACAAAAGGCAAAAATTGAAATCTGCGTATCGCAGATGGCTGGATCTCTCCCGCCGGGAATTGAACCCGGGTCTCAAGCGTGACAAGCTTGCATACTGACCACTATACTACGGAAGACGAACAGGGCTAAAGCCTGCTGTAGTGAGGGGATTGTGATTGGCTCTTCGCAAAGAGATGTCATGAATACCCCTACCCCAGTACCTTGACTGGCTGCGGAATCGGAGCGACTTGGCCCTAAGAGGATGAGTCTAAACCCAAAACCTCCACCTCAACTACAACCACGATGACTTGTGCATCGCATTGATTGCACCTCCCACGACCCCAATCTGCTGCAGAGGCAATTTCGAAATGCTGCCAGCTGCTGCTGTTGCCCTTAGGACCAGCGTCCGGCCGGCAACTTCCCGAGGTCTCCCTCGTGTGTTCGCGCCTGCCCTGACCTCGATCCGATGCCTCAACCGCGCCCTCTCAACAACTCAGGCCCTCTCCGCGGCTTCCTCGCTCAATAGAGACCGGGCCCGTGAGATTGTGGCCCAGACTCTTAGCAACATTGGCAGCAAGCGCGAGACAGCAGCGTACCTCAAGGTTTTCACGCTTGCCTCACAAAACTTTGCCGTCATCAAGGTCGGGGGCGCCATTCTTCAGGAACACCTAGACGAATTCTGTGCAAGCATACTACTGCTCTATGAGCTTGGGCTATACCCCGTGATTGTCCACGGCGGAGGTCCGCAGCTGAACTCCCTCTTAGAGGCTGAGGGGGTGATTCCTCAATTTGAAGATGGAATCAGAGTGACTGATGCGAAAACCCTTACTATTGCGCGCAAGCTTTTTCTAGAAGAAAATTTACGACTCATCAAACGCTTGGACTCATTTGGTGTTGCAACACGAGCTATACAGGGAGCTTTCGTTGCATCTTACCTTGATAAGGAAAAGTGGCAGTATGTTGGCAAGATCACTGAGGTTCGGAAGGAAGCTATTGAGAGCAGCATATCAGCAGGATATGTACCGATCCTGACTTCAATGGCTGAAGGGGATGATGGTCACCTCTTAAATGTTAATGCAGACGTTGCGGCTGCTGAACTTGCTCGTACCCTGAAGCCCTTGAAGGTTATCTACCTCTCAGAAAAAGGAGGCCTTTTTAATGGTGAGGGGAAGATGATCTCGCAGATCAACCTTGATGATGAGTTTGATTACCTCATGGCTCAGCCCTGGTGCCGTTACGGCACCCGTCTCAAAATCCGGGAGATACAGGATCTTCTCAACGATCTTCCCCGAAGCTCCAGCGTGGCTATCATCCACCCTGGTAACCTTCAGAAGGAACTGTTTACTGACTCTGGCGCTGGTACACTCATCCGCCTGGGCAATCGCACGCGAAAGACTTCCTCGATCAAGGAACTTAATGATATCAAGAAGCTCGAGGCTGCGTCAAACAGCAGCTCCGACAGTCTTGATATTGCGGCTATCGTGGATCAGTATGCCAGTGTACTAGCAGAGAAGGAGTTCACTGCCTACTATGATGATGCTATGCATTGCATGGCTATCGTCATGCCTCAGAATCAAGGTACGGCTATACTGGCGGGTCTGTTTACTACCAAGTCTGGCTGGCTTAATGGTACGATGGAGAATATCTTTACTGGTATTAAGAAGGATTACCCTGCTCTGGCTTGGGCTGTTAGTGAGAGGGATGAGAACTTGACCTGGTTTTTTGAACAGGCTGATGGCAGTTTCCACAACGACGGCAGAGTTCTCTTCTACTACGGAACCGATATGCACTCAGTGGCTCTCAGCTCTGTATACGAGAATTTCGTGTCTGGACGAGCTTCGCTCGGCGACTTCAACCTTGAAAGCGGCGGAACAGCTTGAAGTGGAGGAGAAAGTCAATGAATTCTTTCACCTATAGTGCTAACGCAATGAAATTTCAGTAAATGTTGGCTACACCCACATCATTAGCCCAGCCTGACAGGCATGGGCCAAAGCCAACTTACAATCACCACAGCACACAAGAAAACACAGCGCTGGGTTCATTAACAGCTCGCCTTGATCCATTATCCCCTTGGGTATGTCCTCGCGTTGGAGGGGGAGCGGGCCAACTGTTGGCTAGCTTATTTCTCCATCGCCGACCACAGCCTGTGCACCTCAACTCTAAAGGCGGCTTGATAGCTTAGACTCATCATCACCCAAGAAGACGTTGATCAGCTTGGAAAACTCATCCGCATACTGATACAGGAAGCCATGTCCAGAATCAGGGTACAGGTGTAGTTGCGCTTGGGCATTCTTCAACTTCTTCCATATCACGATGCTATTTTCTGTGGGTAACAGAAGATCTTCACTTCCTACTTTTGTGTCAGTGCTTTGCAGCTCAAGTATCAGTCTAACGTACCATTCGCGATGAGAACAGGTAAACGAAGCTCCTCCAAACGATCGTAAGACGCGTCCTTGGCCTGCTTCGGATCCATAAACTTTGCAAAAGCAATTCCCTGGCGACGAGCATTCGCAGGATCAACATGATCCGTTCTGTCCTTTCGTGCACTGGTAATTCTCTTCCACGCAGCCTCGCCCGCAGCCCTGCTCTTATCAGAAGTGTTGAACATGCTCATAAGAAAAGCTTCTTTGTGCTCTTCCTCCGTCTTGGCAGCACTGAGAGCATTGAATGCCTTCAGAGAAGGCGCTGGTACAACGCCTTCGCCTGTGCTAGGCATAGTTCCACAGAGGATCAGGCGGCGAACGAGATCCTTTCCGTTGAGGGCGACGAGCTGAGCGACGCAGCCTCCCATAGAGAAGCCCATCACGTCAGTCTTGTTGACGCCGAGTGCGCGGAGCACGTTGATGTAGTATTGTGCCCATTGCTTGTATTGCTTGGGGACCTCGCCCTCTGAGCGCCCTACGCCGGCGTTGTCAATGGTGATAATGGGGCGTTTGGCCGCGATGGGATTTATAAGGGCTGGGTCCCAATGATCCATTGTTCCCCTAGAACCGTCAGTTTTTGCCCATAGCTAGCTCATAATTGAAGAGAACTCACCTGAAGTGCATACACAATGTGAGGGGTACGCCTTGTTTCGCGCCGAAGCGCCTGTAGGCGAACTTGATTCCATCTACAGTGACGAACTGATCTTGAGCTGTTTCATACGTCGACATTTTGTTGTAAATAGTATGAGTCTGATATTCCGATTTCCGAGTGTCAGATTTGGAAGCTGCTGTATGAGTTCAATGAGGATGCCGAGGTCCATCGGCTTTGACGTCAGGTGATCCGTGATCTGGGGAACCTGGCCAGTGTTTTGAATACTTTCCTGATTGGGAAGTTGCACCAAGTCTCAATGGCAGACGGGAAGAATAGAGATGACTTCATGATGCTCTTGGGCGGATCTCAATGTGACTCCAATAGATAACATAGACGATTGTATTAATCCAAGATTAACTAAACAGAGTTCTATACAACTTATGAATGACGTTTGATGCACAGCCCTTGTAAAGTTATCAAGCGACTCGGTATTTTTTCTGCTACCCGCTTAGTGGTGGAAACCTTGCCTTTGGATGAGTTTTGCTAGACTCGCTTCTCACTAGAAGTCAACTGAGGGCTTATTTTTACATTGCTCAAAACTTATAAGTGAATGGTAACAGCTCACAGTATAAGCCAACATGCCCAGTCCATTCACTCCACACCACGCGCCTTCATGAAATCCACCATATCGAAGAAACTCTTCTTATACCTCCTCTCCTGCGTCGTCCTGTTAACAGTCTGTATTCCAAAGTGCTGATCATAATCCCCAAACTCCCAATTATCCGCAAAGCTCCACGCATAAGCCCCCACAACCTCAACACCATCCTCCCAAATCGCCTTGAGCGTCTCCGACAGGAAACTCAGGTAGTAAATGCTCCTTGGCGTATCAAACAATTGGTCAGATAGATCTTTCTCAGCTTCGCCGTACACGGGGAAACCAAACTCTGTAAGAGCCACGGGGGTCTTCCATGTGTTGTGCAGGTAGTTGAGATAGCTGCGCAGGTAGGTGGGTGTGATATACACGTAGCTTTGGGAGCGGTAGCCGATGTTCCACCCGTTGACGGTTGTAGTAGTTTGGTTGACGCAGTAGGGGCGGAAGGTTGAGGAGGAGTTTGAAGCACATTCGAGGATGCTGTCTTTATCGTCTGGGACGGGTGGTGCAATGACTGTAGCGGTGTATGGATCAATGCCCAGGAAATCTGCTGTACCGCCAATGTACTTGAGATCATCCTCACTCAAAGGAACATAATCGTCAAAGGTCTTCTTGAATGACTCTGGGTAGTCCTCGCCAAGGTAAATCGGGTTGCAGAAAGGTCCAAGTTGAATAGAGTTGAAGTGGTCCGCAGCGTAGACATCAGCTTCACTCTTGGGGTCCCGGGGTACACCAAAGTTATTATTGAACTTGAGCGCAATCTTGCCCTTTCCGCCAAGCTCTTCTTTATACCAGTGATAAACTCGCGCATGAGCCTTGACCACATTGTTGATGGACAGTGCATTGTATGAGTAGAGAAGAGGCTCGTTGAACGTGAACCAAACAGGCACGCGATCAGCATAGTGAGCCATAGCAACCTTGGCGTAGTGAACGAAAGCGTCTTGGAAAGTCTCATTCTGATAACCGCCATTGACGTAGCCAATTTCAGGTCGATCAGCAGCCTTGGTGAGATTGCTGCC